CGCAGAAGCCCACGGAGCTGCTGGTGGGCACGAGCGCCATCAGCAAGGCCCAGGGAAACGCTCCCTCCGGGGCTCCGCCGCAGGAGATGTCCCAGTGCTGGGACTGGGCACTAAAGCCCCTTTTGTTTGCACCCACCCGGTGACCCCGTGCAGAAGAACGGGCAGATTGTCTTTCAAACGGAGCCGATGTGGAGCTCGAATGTCCCTTGCCACCTTGGCTATAAATCATCCTGCATGTGATAAGGTAATTACCTTCTCCTTGAAACTATTCATAGGAAAACCTATAAAGCGCCTGGCTTGTAAACACAACAATAAAGAGGCAGGACAATAAAACCTTGGCCGGGGTGGGGAAGGTGCTGCCTTTCGCTGGCCCGGAGCACCTCGTGCTTCGCCAGGCCCCGGCCGAGCACGGAGGCTGCATCCGCCCTGCGAGAGGCACGGGGCGTGCACAGCCCACGCTGCTCCACAGGACACCAAAAATGAGTATGTGACACTAAAGGGACACGTAAAATCACTGACCTTCATATCACCATGGGGTCAGGCAGGAGAACCGCTCCCAGCTCTGCTCCAGCATCCCCAGGACTGCACCCAGGTGCAACCAGCAGCAGCAGAACTATCCCACGGGGCGGGGGCCAGGCACAGCTGACCCCCATGACCGACCCAGGCCCCACCCTGCAGCTTTTTAGATGTTGCCCACAAAAATTAGGCCTGAATCTCTGTAGCTACCCCCTCCCCCCCCCTATAATCCCCCCAGCAACACCCGTGTGCTGGCAGGGGAGGGGGTGCAGCTGCTGAGCGGGGCTGAGCCCTGCGCTGCTGGCCCTGGCGGGAGGCAGAGGTGACACCCTGTTTGTCTTTATCTTCGTAAGATGCTGGATGGAGTTCCACCAGGCAGAGTGAAAACCAGCTCCTGCTTCCCCGCCTTCCCTTGTGCACGCACTGTTTTTCCCCACAGAGTCAGCTAAGGGTGTCCAGAAGGTGGGGAAAGGGTGTTCCTACAGGAGAATGAAAGGCTGGTGGCAGCGTGAGACCCATCTTACGTCCTCCTCTTCGCAGGCAGGAGGTTTGTAATGAGTGTGTGTGGTGAGATCACAAAATCCAGACTCTCTACCCAAACTGGTGTTTCAGTGCTTATTGGGATGGGTCGAGTCGATGCCTGGGATGCTCGGAGACTACGAGCATCCCTGGGGAAACAGCTACAGAAGAGAGCAACTGGCGGTGTGCACAACCAACCG